ATTCAATTGCTTACAAAATCTTCGACCAAATTAGCTAGCAATCAAATCTTTAGAATATCAAAATGATCATAATTTGTTGGAAGAGTTAATTTTGTCAATGAGATTCTATTGCAACAATCTTAAGAAGATTAGACTTGAGAATACACCCTTTGAACTAGTTGATATTATCTTCTCAGTAAACGAAGGCTCTATGATTCTGAAAGAATACACTTAAATTTAAGGGGAATTAGGAAAATGCCTTAGTTATCTCGAATAAATTGAGACTTTAAAAAATGTCTATTGCTTAGAAAATGACACCTCAAAATTCTAAAGTCTGAGTTAAAATAATGTTGCACTAAATGTGATCGATCAAAGTTCAATTCCTTAAAATGTATACTTTGTCAACTAGGCTATAAGAAAAAAAGTTTTGGAATCAGGTGAGCTTATAGTCTTTAACAGACTTAAGATGGATCAATACGAGTGGATTCTCAAAGATGTTAAGAATTTGCATACTATAAGAATATATGATGCAAAATCACTCTCAGACTCTATCTTTCATTTTCTATAAGGCAAGAACTTGCATAGAGGGTTGAGAGAGATAACAATAAGGTATTTTCATTTCTACTATGAAAAAACGATTCTTGGATTCCTTCAGAACATAGCAAGCTAATAAGACTGTCAATTACATGTTGATTTCACAGGATGTGAGCCCATTGAGAGAATTTAACGCATTGCCGAAGCATTAACTGACTATTCTGGCATCTCTAGTATTATAGCAGATCGATTAGATCTTTTAAGAATAGCTAGAATTCAGAATCAATACAGTCTTATCGATAACATGTTTGGAAATCTTAGCATTGAGGAGATGTAACAACAACAATATCTTCTAGAATTTGGTCACGCTAATCTTCAAAATGTGATTGAATACTCAGAAGAGATATCAAGTTTATTGTGAAGAGTTATTAAAGCAATCAATAAGTTACCATAAATTTAGTTGTATAATAAAAACAAATTTAATTTAAGTTTAATACATTTAACCATTCTTATTGGTTTAATATCATTTAATGGGGTTTTGGGGTTTTGGGGTTTTGGGGTTTTGGGGTTTTGGGG